TCATTTTCCTTGTTAAGAATCAGAGGTGCTAGTTTCAAATCCTTTTTAGTCTGAAATCTGTATGCTAGATATTGAGTAAGGTGGTTTTATTGTTTTTTGTCACTTTGAATAATATTTCTGTTCATGTTAAAAACAAAATCAACTCTCTGTATAAATATATCAGGTGACCGTTATTAAGGCCCATGGGCCTCTTGTATTTCCTCTGTTTGGCCCCGCCCCTCAGCCCCCAGGGGGGCCAGAGCTACGGTTTATACAAAATTGGTTCCCCTTCACCCAAGAATGCTTCAGACCAAATATGGAACAAACAGCTATTTCATGTCATATAAAACGGTAGAGTTTTATCACGAAGAACAACAGTAGTTAAACATCTACATATAAAACTATAGAGTTAAACATTTACATATAAAACTATAGAGTTAAATATTTACATATAAAACTATAGAGTTAAACAGTTACATATAAAACGATAGAGTTAAACAGTCACATATAAAACGATAGAGTTAACAGTCACATATAAAACTATAGAGTTAAACATCTACATACAAAATTATAGAGTTAAACATCTACATATAAAACTATAGAGTTAAACATCTACATACAAAACTATAAAGTTAAACATTTACATACAAAACTATGGAGTTAAACATCTACATATAAAACTATAGAGTTAAACATCTACATATAAAACTATAGAGTTAAACATCTACATATAAAACTATAGAGTTAAACATCTACATATAAAACTATAGAGTTAAACATCTACATATAAAACTATAGAGTTAAACATCTACATATAAAACTATAGAGTTAAACATCTACATATAAAACTATAGAGTTAAACATCTACATATAAAACTATAGAGTTAAACATCTACATATAAAACTATAGAGTTAAACATCTACATATAAAACTATAGAGTTAAACATCTACATATAAAACTATAGAGTTAAACATCTACATATAAAACTATAGAGTTAAACATCTACATATATAAAACTATAGAGTTAAACATTTACATATAAAACTAGAGAGTTAAACAGTTACATAAAACTATAGAGTTAAACAGTTACATATAAAACGATAGAGTTAAACATCTACATATAAAACTATAGAGTTAAACATCTAAATATAAAACTATAGAGTTAAACATTTACATATAAAACTAGAGAGTTGAACAGTTACATAAAAACTATAGAGTTAAACAGTTACATATAAAACGATAGAGTTTAACAGTCACATATAAAACTATAGAGTTAAACATCTACATATAAATCTATTGAGTTAAACATCTGCATATAAAACTATAGAGTTAAACAGTCACATATAAAACTATAGAGTTAAACATCTACATATAAAACCATAGAGTTAAACATCTACATGTAAAACTATAAAGTTAAACGTCTACATATAAAACTATAGAGTTAAACATCTACATGTAAAACTATAGAGTTAAACATGTACATATAAAACTATAGAGTCAAACATCTACATACAAAATTATAAAGTTAAACATTTACATACAAAACTATAGAGTTAAACATCTACATATAAAACTATAGAGTAAAACATCTTCATATAAAACTATAGAGTTAAACATCTACATGTAAAACTATAGAGTTAAACATGTACATATAAAACTATAGAGTCAAACATCTACATACAAAATTATAGAGTTAAACATCTACATACAAAACTATAGAGTTAAACATCTACATATAAAACCATAGAGTTAAACATCTACATGTAAAACTATAAAGTTAAACGTCTACATATAAAACTATAGAGTTAAACATCTGCATATAAAACTATAGAGTTAAACATCTACATATAAAACCATAGAGTTAAACATCTACATGTAAAACTATAAAGTTAAACATCTACATATAAAACTATAGAGTTAAACATCTACATGTAAAACTATAGAGTTAAACATGTACATATAAAACTATAGAGTCAAACATCTACATACAAAATTATAGAGTTAAACATCTACATACAAAACTATAGAGTTAAACATCTACATATAAAACTATAGAGTTAAACATCTACATATAAAACTATATAGTTAAACATCTTCATATAAAACTACCGAGGTAAACATCTGCACATAAATCTATAGAGTTAAACATCTACATATAAAACTATATAGTTAAACATCTTCATATAAAACTAGAGAGTTAAACATCTACATATAAAACTATAGAGTTAATCATCTACTTATATAAAGACCAAACCATATCCTCATTTATTTTTAACTCACTCAATTTATTCAATATTGCTGAACTTTTAACAGTCACCTATACACTGAAACAGTGAATTATGATGGGAAGTGTTCACATATAATTTCGTGACACTTCAATGATGATATACATAAGTGGAATATCACCGGGTGATGGTCCCTCTGTCTAGACGCTATGACATCACACAAGGACCAAATAGTACATTTTGTGTATAACAGTCATACTAAACGATGTCACTAGACCGTGCTGTTTGATGTCACGGATATCTAATTGTTTTGGTATACCCAATAAAATAAAACGTCCCTGGCATGATGATATTTATATATAAACATTCTATTAATGAAATAATTCTACATTATAATATTTGGTAAAGGCACAACACGAAAACATATAAATCAAACCGTTATTCGAACTCAAAATCGATGGAGCTAGCGCAAAATACAAACAAAAGTAAGTTAAATCGCTATTTTGATATTTTCAGATTATTCGACATGAAACCATACACAATCCATAGACAGAAGAAATCAGAGGCTAACTTTTCAAAGTTAATTTAAAAGACGGTAGCCTTAATGCACAGAGGACAATTAAATTGTGCATAAAGTGTATTACAGTCCAAACCATGTAATTGTGCCTGGAGTCAATAACTTTATCCTTTTCTGCAAACACCATTACATCTCCTTGCAAAAAGAACTTGGCTTGCTTGATGACCAAAGAAAACCTCCATGTACAGATGTACCGTTATCTGATTTCCCCTAAATCAAAATAATAGGTAATTATCCTTCCTTGTAACATTTTTCCGAATACCTGTTAATGGTCAGGACATATACTTTCCTTGCTTGTATTGGATTTTGGAACCTTACAAGAATCCGTAAAAAATATCGCTGGCTCTGTTAGTTTCTCAATCAAGCCATTATCCAAACTTCTTACTCCGATCACTTTGAGTACCATAGTTTACTTGAATGCCTTCAATCTCTTGTTAGGAAAACATCAGAGGTATTGAGCTCGGCAGCAGAATGTTGCAGCAGACTGTTTGCTTACATGGTCACTGAGAACAAACATGACCGTCTTTCTGCTGAAGTGGATTCGACATTCACATGCTTGTTTGGATGTCACAAATCCCATGATAGATGTCACCGATCCCATGATAGATGTCACCAATCCCATGATAGATGTCACCAATCCCATGATAGTCTCACCAATCCCATGATAGATGTCACCAATCCCATGATAGTCTCACCAATCCCATGATAGATGTCACCAATCCCATGATAGATGTAGAATGCTGACTGACAAAGTTACAACACATGATTTTAATAAACCTAGATATAGTTTGCAGTGTTAACTGTAACTAAATACGATATTCCGTCATGTTTATCTGTGCTCGACTGTTTTATTTATAAGTAGTCAGAAAGACAATTTTGACCCTTCGCCTTGTCCCGGTCCCAAAATTTATGAAATGCCTCCATTGTCTTATCATCGAAATTCTGTACTCTTATATATTTAATGACATAATCTGCACTTTTAAATGTAATCTGGGAGATATTTATAAAATACGATCCATTTTCTCCCAAAGTTCCGTGATAAAGGGATGACAAGGTACATATTGATGGGACGGATATCAATCGTTGGAAAGATGTTGATGGAAAATAGCAATAAAATTGATATCCACGTTAGGTTTGGTTGGGTTTGGTTTAGTTTAATTTTGTTCAACGTCCTATTAACAGATAAGGTCATTTAGGACGTGCCTCCATGTGTGTAGTGTATGCGTGCTTGCGTGTGTGTATGAAGGAGACAGGGTATGTCGGTGTGCGTGCCTCCTTGTGATAGCGCGGATCTGATGCCGACTTTATAGTGCTATCTCACTGTAATACCATGCCGAAAGCACACAGCACAGCATTCCGCCCGGTCACATTATACTGAAAACGGGTGAACCTGCTGGATATCCACGTTAGAAATTACTACAATGTACAAAACAAAGTGCGTTAAAGTTTCTGTAATCATTAATTAATATAAATTGATTCGAAAGACACCAGACAAATTAATAACACTCCTACGTCTTCTAATTATTCACTATTTCATTCATTTCAAATCAAATAAGCAAACATTATTGTTAGCTGAATGAACTCATTGTTAAAAAAGAAATTATATCGAAAATTATGGAATGAAAAAAAATGTTATTCAAACGTTCATGTATAAAGCACGTATACGAAAATAAAATAAAAATACTCCAATTACCCTAGGTTTTATCATCACGAGTAACTGTTATATTATGATACAGTTATTAAACAAAGGTCAGGTTTGTAGACTAAAATTAACTAGAGTTTTAACACTACTAGACACGAAGATTAGGGGACCCCAAATGATAACATCACAGTTCATATAACAGGTCGGGCCAAATATGGAAACATTGTTCCCGTATGATATATGGTACAGACTTTTATTCTGAGTTCTGTGATAAATCTGGTCATACACGAGGATCTAATCGGCACAACAACAATCGAGACGTTTATAAAAGAATGAACTAATCAAATCAAATCTACACAGCTGACTGACCATCTTTGTTTCTGCTGATTACAAAAAGCCTAGTACGTCATTTATCCGTGTTCCATATATACCAACACCCTGTCGTATCTAGTGTTGTCAGCTTAATAATGAAACAATCCAAAAAATAGATTAAAAAACATTTATATTATTGTTATTTAATATGAAAACAAATAATGCATGTCCTGTTATTAAAAAATGTTCATCGCCGGGTAAAAATCGTTAAAATACTCAATCCTTTTCTGACGCGTTCCAAAAAACCAACAATTTATGACTTCCTTTTTCGCTCATGAAGCTTGAAACAGCTTCGTTTTTAGCTATCTGATACAACAGGGTATGCCTTACCTGGTAGATGTATCCTATATGTGTCAGAAGTGTGACATACCCCTACCGATGTCCCACGTACAAGGGGTCTATGTATCCCCCGTACATGTTTCTGGTACTTGTGAGTTTGGTTCTGTTACAGGAGGCACGGTTTGGGAAAGCTGAACGTAAGTAAATTCTTTATCATATCCACATTACAATGACAGTAATTATGTTGATGGCATTAAATACAAAGACACATATTTTATATATGAAAATAGGAAACAGGTTTACCTATTTTGACTAAGATAAGTTATTTAATCTATTTTTGTTAACCTTCTGAAGACTTAATTATCATTTTAAAGTACGATTTGGTAGTATTTAGTGAGAAATAATATTTCATTGTACATACATTTCTATATTTGAAATGTTTGATAACAGCCATTGTGATGTCATAAATAAACATACATTGATGGTAAAAGACAAAACGGGGCTATTTATTGTTTATCTTGGCATACTTTAATCTGTGCTATTATTTTACACGGTGAAGTGAATCGTTTTCATTCTGTCCGAATGTCATGCACTGACGTTCGAGATCCTCTGTAAAAATAACTGTATGACAGTTGCAACAAATATGCACCTGACGCATACCTTTCTTTCTGGTGGAAATTTATCAATTAGAATTTAATTTTACATTCTGTCATAAAATAGTCGTCCAATTGACAAACTAACGATTAAACGTGGCGACTTTAAATTCGCAGTTGTTTTAACTGTAAGATACTGTACGGGCTACTGTGATACTCAGAGCCTGTTCTCAGTGTAGTCGCTCCTAATGACCAGTATATCACACAACCTATTGACCAGTATATCACAAAACCTATTGACCAGTATATCACAAAACCTATTGACCAGTATATCACACAACCTATTGACCAATATATCACACATACTATTGACCAGTATATCACACAGTATATTGACCAGTATATCACACAGTATATTGACCAGTATATCACACAGCCTATTGACCAGTATATCACACAGCCTATTGACCAGTATATCACACAGCCTATTGACCAGTATATCACACAGCCTATTGACCAGTATATCACACAGCATTTTGACCAGCATATCACAGCCTATTGACCAGTATATCACACAGCCTATTGACCAGCATATCACACAACCTATTGACTAGTATATCACATAGCAAGTTGACCGGTATATCACACAGCCTTTTGACCAGTACATCACACAGCCTATTTACCACTATATCACACAGCCTATTGATCAGTATATCACACAGCATCTTGACCAGTATACCACAGCCTATTGACCACTATATCACACAGCCTAGCTATTGGCCAGTATACCAAACAGTCTATTGACCAGAATATCCCACAGTCTATTGACCAGCATATCACACAGCCTATTGACCAGTATATCACACAGTCTATTGACCAGCATATCACACAACCTATTGACCAGTATATCACACAGCATTTTGACCAGTATATCACAGCCTATTGACCAGTATATCACACATCCTATTGACCAGTATATCACACAGCCTATTGACCGGTATATCACACAGCCTATTGACCGGTATATCACACAGCCTATTGACCGGTATATCACACAGTCTATGTCTATTGACCAGTATATCACACAGCCTATTGACCGGTATATCACACAGTCTATGTCTATTGACCAGTATATCACACAGCCTATTGACCGGTATATCACACAGTCTATGTCTATTGACCAGTATATCACACAGCCTATTGACCAGTATATCACACAGGCTATTGACCAGCATATCACACAACCTATTGACCAGTATATCACACAGCCTTTTGACCAGTACATCACACAGCCTATTGACCAGTATATCACACAGTCTATTGACCAGCATATCACACAACCTATTGACCAGTATATCACACAGCATTTTGACCAGTATATCACAGCCTATTGACAAGTATATCACACAGCCTATTGACCAGTATATCACAGCCTATTGACCGGTATATCACAGCCTATTGACCGGTATATCACACAGCCTATTTACCAGTATATCACAGCCTATTGACCAGTATATCACACAGCCTATTGACCAGTATATCACAGCCTATTGACCGGTATATCACACAGCCTATTGACCGGTATATCACACAGTCTATGCTTTATCCATTATCCGTGACTCTTCGGTCCTCCATGTCTTCAAACTATGGTATTCTGGTATTTGCCGAAATTGTTTGCTGTGTCCTAAATTGTTGGTGATTTATATACTTTTCTTTATTTTACTCGAGATATCTTTTCACAAAGTGTTGTTACTGTACTCCACCGTATATAAATTTGGATACATATTTTCAATCGATTCTACACACTTATGTTTTTTCTGGGATAAGATAAAATCTTGACGCTCGCCTTATCCAATTTGAGAATTTAGCCACTTTTGCTTTGTACATAACTCTAGATCTGAAAGCCTCTATTCTGATTGACGTCGGGCAGTTTTGCAGTTTTGAAGTTTTATCTGGAAATAAAATCTTACCACGTTGGTTTGAATTTCCCAGAGTTCACATTAACAAGAGATACCTCTTTAAACAGCGATATTGCATCTATATCATTTAATATCATTTATATCTGAAAATAGATTTTAGAATGTTTTCAAAGGACTTTCAGCAATATTTCATACGACAGCTGTGTTAATCGTAATAATTATCAGGACGAGTTTTTAAATAACGAACATTGTATTCATCGATATTTTACATGTGATATTTAATAGTATCTGTATGTTAATCTATGACAATATATTGTGGGTTATTGTTAGATATTACCAGACCTGTATATGTGTTATGCCTGTGTTGGGTATAACACTGGTAGTAGGGACACAGTGTGTGCTGTCTGTAGATGGTATCTATGACTAGTACTGTGGTCAGGTCGTACAAATGAAGACCGATGAACGGTAGTATTGTAGCACCTGTCGGACAACAAACTAAACAAGGACCATTCATAAACTCAACTTGTATGAGAGCTAGAAAACATATAACAGTGTATTTAAGTCCAACGAGCCCCCTTATAGATGACACAGTTTCAACACCGGTATAGTCCATGTTTGATGACACCGGTTCAAAATTCTGATCATATAATGAGGATATAATAAAACTCACACTTGTGCAAATATATAATGCAAAGCGATATGGGCTTAGTCAGAGATTTAAAGAATGATTTTAATAAGCATGTTTAACTGATATTACGAAATGACAACCTTTTTTGTATTTTCAGTCCCCGAGAATGACCTTGTGACTGGACTCTATTTGTCACACTTACATGTTACATGTAGTCTAACAATGAATACCTGTTGTAGCGGGAGCCACCGATACATGATAAACAGTATATTTAATTGAATTTAATTGAAAAGTAATGGACGCAGGCTAAAAGCCTCTAAGTCCATATCACAAAACATAGTATAAAAATATTATATTGTCACTAGTTAACATATATAAACTTTCCCAAAAGAGTTATTTTAAAAGTCATTATCAGTAATTATTGTAAATAGTGTCCTTCAGATGGTTATCCAACAGGATCTCAAAGTCCTTCGTGGATTCTGCATTTACAACCGATTCCGGTAGACCGTTCCAGATATCAACTACCCTAAACGTGAACGAGTTTTTCCTTAGCTCTGTACTACAATCGTTGTTTATACAGCTTAAATTTATGTCCTCGTGTTCTTTCGTTATTATCGTAGACAAATATGTCTGACGTGACTTTCTCATCAAACTTCCTCTTCACAATCTTGAAAACGTTAATCAAATCACCTCTAGTCCTTCGGTGTTTTAGTGTCGGTAGTTTTAATTTTTCTAAACGTTCTTCGTAGGAGATTTCTTTAAATCCAGGTAGAAGCTTAGTGGCTCTCCGTTGTACATTCTCTATCATCTGGATATCTTTAAGTTTATACGGACTCCACGCACTGGCTGCGTATTCTAGATGCGGTCTTACCAGAGCCTTAAATAACTGTCTAAAAATCGATTCGTCCAAAAAAGTAAATGATCTTCTAATAATCCCGAGTACTGAATTAGCTTTATTTATTGAGTTTTGAATGTGGGTCCGAAAGTCCAGGTTTGCATCCACCGTTACTCCTAAATCTTTTTCACTGTTGATTTTGTCAAGTACGACTTCTCCAGTTTTGCTCGCGAGACGGTATGTTCTATTATTGTTTGGTGATCCTTTAACCTGAAGAACCTTGCATTTATTCGGATGAAATTTCAGAAGCCAATCATCAGACCATTTTTGAAGATTATTCAAATCTGCTTGTAGAATTTCCTTATCCTCATCAGTTCGTATCTTGCGGTATAATTTANCAAAACATCGCGAAGTTCCTTTAAAGCTTTCGGATGCATCCCATCGGGTCCTGGTGATTTGTTAGCATCTAAATTGAAAAGTAGTTTCTTGATTACATCTCCATTGATTGACGTGTCTTGAAATAGGTGACTGACAGGTCTGGCTAGGAACGGAGGTAGCTCCCCCGGTGGTTCTTTAGTAAATACACTCGTGAAGAAATTAACCAATACTTCTGCCTTCTCCGAATCACTAGTTGCTATTTCTGTAGGGTTTCCGTTCAATCCTTTTAGGTCCGAAATTCCCGATCTCACTTTTCTCTTAGCATTTATATATTTCCAGAATCGTTTAGGCTGGTGCTTCGCATTAAGTGCAATTTCCTTTTCCATCTCCTTTTTTGCCTTCCGGAGTTCCCATTTGACTTGGTTTCTGAGTTTGGCATACTCCTTATACCTATCTTGTGTTTTTGTTTCCATAAACCTCGTCCAAGCCCGATGTTTTTTATTGATTTTATTCCTAAGATCCCTGTTCAACGCTAGGTCGTTTTTGCTGTTTGCAGTTGTGTTCTTCTTTTTTGGGATATATTTGTCCGCAGTATTATGGAATATACGGAGAAATTTGTTGTACGCTTCTTCAGTATCCAGGTTAGACAAAGTTTCTGTCCATTCCACCTCCCGTAGTTCCTTCTTCATGTTGGTATAGTCTCCTTTACGGAAATTATATCCTGTTTGAAAATTTGTGGATACCGTTTTTATCCTTATCAGAGTTCGGACTTCTATAGACACAGCCAATCAACACTTTCTCCTTATCCGGCGATGTTAATTTTACCCAGATGCTCCCTTTAAAGCTGGTTGCAATGTCCACTTCCACGGGTTTAAGGCCTTCCTTGATGTAAATACCTATTCCACGGTGTCGATTGGGGTCGTTTTCGTTTATAAAAAATTCGGGTAGATTTCAGTTATACCTATCGCGTCTATACCCCTCTCTTTCTGTTTAATCCTTAGTTTTAACTCATCCAATTTGTTTAAAAGACTGTCAGCATTAGTGTAAAAGCAGCTCAAGTTATCGTTTAATCTTCCCGAATTTTCGTTTTGGTTTTGATTTTCACGATTTTTCTGTTCCATGGGGGGCCTTTTACCCTGTGGACAAAACCCCCGGTCTCCTTCTCGTTTCTCTTTTTCGCTTCTCCCCTTAGCGCTGCCTCTCCTCTTTCTGATTTGGTCAGATCATTATTAATCCGAATGGATTTGTAATCATCATTGGTTTGAAGATTCCAAATATTTTTGAAAAACACAGATTTATAAGCAATGCTACCGAAGCTGACTAGGATGGGTCGGGTTTTCTCCTGTTGTTTTCTGCCTAGTCTGGTAATCTTGGGAATGTCATTCAATCCCTCAGCCGAGACTTTGCAGGTTTTAAGCATCTTTGTAACTATCTCCAAATCCGCATGTTTTGCGTCCCCGTTATCCTCTTTTTCGTCAATCCCGAAAATGATTATGTTGTTTTCTCTGCGTTTTTTATCGTTAAGCTCCGATAATACAGTAGATGTAGCATCATTGATACTAGTATGGGTATCCTTGGATGAACTTACAGAGTTTGCCAGTTCCTCTTGAATTATCTTCCTCACCTCATCAGTTCCACACTTCGACTTTATAACGAGTTCAAGCTTGGTAATTCTTTCCTCGAATGCTGCCATTATCTCAGCACATTTGTTTTCCACTATGGTTTCGGTATGAAGGTTTTTTCTTACTGCCACATTGCATGGCGCGCAAAACCACATCGAATCCGTTTTGTTCAGAAAATCATATTCCGTGACTTCTTTCTGCAGGCACGCGATACAGAAACGGTCTTTGCAGCGTTCACATTCCAGCATTTTAGCGTTTGGGTCTCCATTGTCCGTCTTCTGACACAACTTGCAGGTCCAAATGTCCGACAAAAACGGGTTGGAACTTCGTCTACTACTCCATTTTCTCTCTCCAGAACGCGTGACCACTGTTTTCTTCTTCTTTTCGCCTGATCTGCTTGACGACGATGTTACGTCCTTAGATCCCGCTGGACGCATGTCGAAAATTGTAGAGATCTCTGTTCCTGTTGGGGGATGAGTCCTTATACCACCCGCTCCATGTAGAGCTAATATTTAGCTTCTTCTTTGACAATTTCCAGCACAATGTGACGTTGATAAACTATATAAAACTGAAAAAAAGCTTCCGATTTACCGGAGACCGGAACAATGGCGTCTGTTACCATGTGACGTCATAAACCTATATACTATGTCTTTTTGTAACACTCTTGGTCATTTTATTGATATGCTGTGAATGGAACCTAGAATGTGTTGTTGTTTCAACATGTTTACTGTTAACTGTGTTGGTGACTTTTATATTGCATGCACCATGATTTGGTTACAATATCATCCTTTTGTTGCGATTTATATTTTTAGGTCACCTGAGCTTTGCTCAAGTGACCTATTCCGATCACTTTCCGTCCGTCGTCGTCCGTCGTCGTCCGTCGTGCGTCGTGCATAAACTTTTTACATTTTCAACTTCTTCTCAAGAACCAATGGATGGATTTTTTTCAAACTTGGTCAGAATTATCCTTGGATACAAAATTGTAACATTGGGGTTCCTACCCCACCCCTTGGGCCAGGGTGGGGCCCCAAAGGGAAAATTAACTAATATTTCAAAAATCTTCTTCTCCAGACGCAAAGGTACTACAGTCATTTTCTCTGCATGGATACAAAGATCATCAGGTGCTTTATTTAAATTGTCAATTTTAGGACCCCCGTGCCATCCCTTCTCCCTGTGGGAGGAGGTTAAGTTTACTATAGTTTATATAGGGAAATAACACTTTTGGGTATATTTTAACAATATTCTGTAGGAAATTATTCTTACTTAGTGAGAATTATCCTTGGAGGAAGATGGTTTTGAATTGTTAAATTGGGATTCCTACCCCAACCCGAGGGGCCAGGGCGGGCCCCAAAGGGAAAATTAACCAATATTTCAAAAAACTTCTTCTCCAGACTCAGAGGTACTATAGTCAATTTCCGTGCATGGATAGAAAGATCATCAGGAGTTTTATTAAAATTGTCATTTTCAGGCCCCCTGAGCCATCCGTTCTCCCTTGGGAAGGGGGTAAAGTTTCCTATAGTTTATATAGGGAAATAACACTTTTAGGTATATTTTTTCCATTTTCAGCAGAACATTATTCAAACTTGGTCATCTTTGGTGGATGAGGGTATTACATTGTAAAATTGGAATGCCTTCCCCATCCCCAGGGGCTAGGGCGGGGCCCCAAAATGAACATTTACCAATATTTTAAAATTCTTATCCTTTGATGACATGACAAGTATTGTGTCTCACTTAGCGTACATGCTGATTTCCACATCACATCTAAACAATAAAATAAAGCTACCAGTACCTATGATATAACTCAGTTGACCGCTAAGGCCCTTGGGCCTCTTGTAATTAAATTTCAACTTGTTTTATTCATGATCCTCGGAGAAACATATTTAAGTGAATCCGTAAAATGTGCATGATCAGTAATATTTACCGTAAAATCTCGAAGGCGACCTACACAAATTACCACTTCCCTAAAAGTAACACCGCTTAAATCAAATTGGTATAGAGTATAAACATAGGCTTTGTTACTTACAGTGGTGGAAGAGGAAGCGTGTACCATTAACGGGGAGCCTGATTACTGCCCTCTAACGGAGACATGTTGTACTAATTACTGCTGTCCCAGTAAAAGCATCTGCTTCAATGATGCATGTCTGTCATACTGGTAAGTCATACAACCTCTGTTCTGTGTCTTTATGTAAGTTATTCCATTCAACAAAGGATGTCTTGTATAAATATGGTCCTACCACCTACGTTTGAGGATATCCTTCTGAATGTCTTGTATAAATATATTCCTACCACATCCGTTTGGGGATATCAATGTGAATGTCTTGTATATATATGTATCATTGTGAATGTCTTGTAAAAATATGGTCCTACCACCTACGTTTGAGGCAATCATTGTGAATGTCTTGTAAAAATATGGTCCTACCACCTACTTTGGAGGAAATCATTGTGAATGTCTTGTAAAAATATGGTCCTACCACCTACGTTTTAGGATATCATTGTGAATGTCTTGTATAAATCTAGTTCTACCACCTACGTTTGAGGAAATCATTGTGAATGGCTTGTATAAATATGGTCCTACCACAAACGTTTGAGGAAATCATTGTGAATTTTTTGTATAAATATAGTCCTACCCCTTACGTTTGAGGAAATCATTGTTAGTGTCTTGAATAAATATAGTCCTACCACCTACGTTTGAGGCAATCATTGTGAATGTCTTGTAAAAATATAGTTCTACCACCTACGTTTGAGGATAGCATTGTGAATGTCTTGTATAACTATACCCCTACCACATACGTTTGAGGAAATCATTGTGAATTTTTTGTATAAATATAGTCCTACCCCTTACGTTTGAGGAAATCATTGTGAGTGTCTTGTATAAATATGGTCCTACCACTTACGTTTGAGGAAATCATTGTTAATGTCTTGTATAAATATGGTGCTCCCACCTACGTTTGAGGATATCCTTCTGAATGTCTTGTATAAATATGGTACTACCACCTACGTTTGAGGATATCCTTCTGAATGTCTTGTATAAATATAGTTCTACCACCTACGTTTGAGGAAATCATTGTGAATGTTTTGTATAAATATAGTCCTACCACTTACGTTTGAGGAAATCATTGTGAATGTCTTGTATAAATATAGTCCTCCCACCTACGTTTGAGGAAATCATTGTGAATTTTTTGTATAAATATAGTCCTACCACTTACGTTTGAGGAAATCATTGTGAATGTCTTGTATAATTATAGTCCTACCACCTACGTTTGAGGATATCATTGTGAATGTCTTGTATAAATATAGTCCTACCACATACGTTTGAGGACATCATTGTGAGTGTCTTGTATAAATATGGTCCTACCACCTACGTTTGAGGAAATCATTGTTAGTGTCTTGTATAAATATAGTCCTACAACATACGTTTGAGGATATCATTGTGAATGTCTTGTATAATTATAGTCCTACCACCTAAGTTTGAGGACATCATTGTGAGTGTCTTGCATAAATATGGTCCTACCACCTACGTTTCAGGATATCATTGTGAATGTCTTGTAAAAATATAGTCCTACCACCTACGTTTGTGGATATCATTGTGAATGTCTTGTAACAATATGGTCCTTCCACCTACGTTTGGGGATATCATTGTGAATGTCTTGTATAATTATAGTCCTACCACCTACGTTTGAGGACATCATTGTGAGTGTCTTGTATAAATATGGTCCTACCACCTACGTTTGGGGATATCATTGTTAATGTCTTGTATATACATGGTCCTACCACCTACGTTTGAGGAAATCAGTGTGAATGTCTTGTATAATTATAGTCCTACCACCTACGTTTGAGGATAGCATTGTGAATGTCTTGTATAAATATAGTCCTACCACATCCGTTTGGGGATATCATTGTGAATGTCTTGTATATACATGGTCCTACCACCTACGTTTGGGGATATCATTGTGAATGTCTTGTAAAAATATAGTCCTACCCCCTACGTTTGAGGATAGCATTGTGACTGTCTTGTATAAATATAGTCCTACCGCATCCGTTTGGGGATATCAATGTGAATGTCTTGGATATATATGGTCCTACCACCTACGTTTGGGGTTATCATTGTGAATGTCATGTAAAATTATAGTCCTACCACCTACGTTTGAGGAAATCATTGTGAATGTCTTGTATAAATATAGTCCTACCACATCCGTTTGGGGATATCAATGTGAATGTCTTGTATATATATGGTCCTACCACCTACGTTTGGGGATATCATTGTGAATGTCATGTAAAATTATAGTCCTACCACCTACGTTTGAGGATAGCATTGTGAATGTCTTGTATAAATAGGTCCTACCACCTACGTTTGAGGATATCATTATGAATGTCTTGTATAATATAGTCCTACCACCTACGTTTGAGGAAATCATTGTTAGTGTCTTGAATAAATATAGTCCTACCACATCCGTTTGGAGATATCATTGTGAATGTCTTGTATAAATATGGTCCTACCACCTACGTTTGAGAATATCATTGGGAATGTCTTGTATAAATATGGTCCTACCACCTACGTTTGAGGAAATCATTGTGAATGTGTTGTATAAATATGGTCCTACCACCTACGTCTGGGGATATCATTGTGAATGTCTTGTATAAATATAGTCCTACCACATACGTTTGAGGATATGGTCCTACCACCTACGTTTGAGGATATCATTGTTAATGTCTTGTACAAATATAGTCCTACCACATACGTTTGAGGATATGGTCCTACCACCTACGGTTGAGGATATCATTGTGAATGTCTTGTATAAATATGGTCCTACCACCTACGTTTGAGGAAATCATTGTGAATGTCTTGTATAAATATGGTCCTACCACCTACGTTTGAGGATATCATTGTTAATGTCTTGTATAAATATAGTCCTACCACCTACGTTTGAGGATATAGTCCTAACACCTACGTTTGAGGATATCATTGTGAATGTCTTGTATAAATATGGTGCTACCACCTACGTTTGAGGATATGAGGATATCATTGTTAATGTCTTGTATAAATATGGTCCTACCACCTACGTTTGAGGATATGAGGATATCATTGTTAATGTCTTGTATAAATATAGTCCTACCACATACGTTTGAGGATATGGTCCTACCACCTACGTTTCAGGATATCATTGTGAATGTCTTGTATAAATATAGTCCTACCACCTACGTTTGAGGATATGATTGTAAATGTCTTGTATAAATTTGGTCCTACCACCTACGTTTGAGGATATCATTGTGAAACGGAGTCAAATACATTACGAAATCAATCGATCTGACAGAGTTGATTTGACCACGCGGTATGAAATAAAAACTCGAAAATGCAATCTGCGACTTTGGCACTTTACCTTAATGAAATATCAAAGAAATCAAAACTTTCCGTTTTTAAGACCAATGAATCAACCGAGCTAAAAGAGTAGTACAAGAATAACAGTGAGCAAGTTTGCATTAATATGTAATATGATTGTGACTGATATCATGTAAGCATTTGTATTTTATTTGTAGTCTTCCAGTATATAACTCATGTGAGGTACCATATTGTATATATTTAAAGCACAGAGTGATATGAAGTAACGTATGATCTGGTAAACACACACAATATGAGATAACATATTGTCTTATAACCGCACTTCGATGTGAAGTAACGTATTATCTTATGGTCACACTCATGTAAAGTGACATTGTTTTGGAGGTACAATCTGATAAGAGGTACGATATCATCCTGTAAGCACACTGTGATGTGAACTAACGTATGATTCCATCCATGTGAAGTAAGCTATTGTACGAACATTACGATGAGAAGTAACCTATTGTACGAACATTACGATGAGAAGTGACCTATTGTACCAACATTACGATGAGAAGTGACCTATTGTACCAACATTACGATGAGAAGTGACCTATTTTACCAACATTACGATGAGAAGTGACATGTTGTACCAACATTACGATGAGAAGTGACCTATTGTACCAACATTACGATGAGAAGTGACCTATTGTACCAACATTACGATGAGAAGTGACATATTGTACGAACATTACGATTAGAAGTGACATATTGTACGAACATTACGGCGAGAAGTGACATGTTGTACGAACATTACGGTGAGAAATGACATGTTGTACGAACATTACGGTGAGAAGTGACATGCTAATGAACCCTGATTTTGTACCGGTAGGGTCATCGTTGTTCCTTCAGTGGTGGCGCTAGGCATCCTCTTCACCATCACACTATGCTGTATAAACCACATAAGTAAGTATGGCTTAGAAATACGAAATAAAACATAAAGGTTAATTGCCTGCTGTATACAATTAATACATTTCAAATGGATTTTAACTGGCTTCATGTATATATTCCTGACTTAACGATTAATAGCTTTAACTTATGCCCGGATATCTTCACTAGCTAGCTAAACATAGCTAGCATATTGTATAGTAGGTTGCATAGTGCATGAACATTAGTAATGTATCTTACAGCATAGCTATGTTTGTTACTTTTAATTCCAAAAAGAATTGAGGACATAATGCCATAGACATCAATCACATTATTTATGTTTCGCAGGAAATCAATCATGACAAAGTGTCGTTCAGGAAATGATGCGATTTGGTTGTTGTAGAATATCCGTCAATATATTTGTGGTGTAGGAGGTGATATTATCTGTGTTGTGTAGGACGTGATATTATCCGTGTTGTTAAGGATATCGTCCTATCAGTTTTATTGTGAAGTTGGGCTGTGGAGGGCATCTATCAATACATCTGTGTTGTGTGCGAGATCCGCGTTGATATTCGTGTTGTGTACGAGATCCGTCTTGATATCCGTGTTGTGTGTAAAATCCGTCTTGATATTTGTGTTGTGTGTAAGATCCGTTTTGATATTTGTGTTGTGTGTAAGATCCGTTTTGATATTTGTGTTGTGTGTAAGATCCGTTTTGATATTTGTGTTGTGTATGAGATCCATTTTGATATTTGTGTTGTGTATGAGATCAGTCTTGATATTTGTGTTGTGTATAAGATCCGTCCTTATATTTGTGTTGTGTGTAAGATCCATTTTGATAATTGTGTTGTGTAGGAGATCTGTTTTGATATTTGTGTTGTGTATGAGATCCATTTTGATATTTGTGTTGTGTATGAGATCAGTCTTGATATTGTTTGTGTATGGCAATTGTCATATCAATTTTATTCTGTAGGAAGTTATGGAAGTTGCGTTGTGTTAACACATCAATATTGCCATCTGTCAATACGTTCTCGTTGTGTCGGAAATTATACCATTTGTTTGTTGTAGGACATCGGGCTTATCAGTTTTACTGTTTAGGAAATCGAGTCAATGTTTTAGGAAATTATGCCATTAGTTTGTTGAAGAACATACGTCTTATTATTGGTTTTGTGTCTTTCGGTCATTACATGCATGCTTCATAGGACATCACACATAAACTCGTGTAGTGTACGACATTGACATATATTTTGACAAGCCTTATAATAGTTGATAATAGTTATAACTTGTAGAAGTGGTAAAAATATATATAAATAACTTTAATTGCACAAAAGTTACCGTTAGTTAAAAAAAACATTTTTTGTTTGCTTTCAGAAAATAGAAGATGGACTCCCGACTGACAGGTCATCAAAACATGTTCTTTCTTTTAGAATCACAATTTACTTTATTCTAGTCGTACGAAGTAATTGTTAATGATTGGTAATGCGAGTATTTTTGTACTTCTCGTGAACCTATAAACAGTGTTACAGTGTTATGTTTGTCTAAATGTCTGTGAGTTGCGTATTGTACATAAAGTTTGTTTAAGCGCGTTGTAATGTATACAGGTAGTCGGGATTATTATACCTCTACTTATTTTACACTATACAAAAGTAACCACATAAACAAGCTATTTCCCCTCTAACTGCATGCCAGGGAAATAGTTCGTCTGGAGGGGTGCGATAGTTTTGAAACTATTTCCCTCGGAAAATGCGGAAAATTGAGTGACGTCGTGGCCGGAGCCTGACCGAATATTGACCAATCAGCGCAATCGGAAATTTTTAGTTTTGTTAATAAAGTGTCCCAACTGTTGAAAATTTGTTGTTTAATAATATTTAGAATATTGTAATTGGGTGTTTGTATCGGTATAATAAACAGTTGAAGTATGGGTATTTCGGGATATAGCAAGTTTATGATCCCCCTCGTCCAGGACTATTTCCCTCGGCTTCGCCTCGGGAAATAGTCCTGGCCTCGGGGGATCATAAATTTGTTATATTCCTCATACCCATACTTTAACTGTTAACTATGTTACATCACATGTATCATAATTTGCTAAGGAAACGTGGGAACGCGAAGTAAACATGATGATGGTAAGTGAGGTGGCAAAAACGAAGGGGCATTATTAGGTTTACCTGTATACATCAGCACGTCAAGGATCTGCCAATAAAGTCATTCAAAAGCATAACACATTGGTAGTGTTTCTAAGGTCTTTATTGAGATATAATTACGTACAAACGTGGACCAAAAGGAGCTCTAACTTCAAGCTGTTGGTGTGAAAGAAATCGAAAACTCTTAGGAGTTCGGGACGCAGTATATCAATATATATGGTATACAGAAGAACCTCGCTAGTTCAGACATTTAACAATACGAAAGAGTGAAAAATACGGACAAAAAGAGCTGAATTGTCACCACAACGTGTTAACAGGAAAGGATTAATGCATTAAAAACCTAAAGTAAATTCATATTGATTTATGGCGACTTAACTAATTATAAAAGCATTGTTTTCTGAACATGACGGTATTTGTCCGAACTACCGAGGTTCTTGTGTATTAAATAACGCTCTATAACATTTTTTGTTTCGCTTACAACTTAAAACACGATAAAGACACTATATTTTCGTATTACAAAAGCATAAAAGATATTGTGTACATCTATATGAAAAGGAAACATCTGGGACTTGCAACTTAAAAGGAGAAAATCAGAGTCAACGAAAGCAGCAGTATAAAACAAATGTAATGATTGACTTAATGTTCAATTCAATTCTGTATTGAATTCCTTCATATTGCGGTCGAAATATTGGCACTTTCAATCACTTGGTTAGGTATACCCTTCTTTTAGCAATACTAGTATTATCAGTAACGCGCACACCAGCGGTACAACAGCTAGATATCATAACAGTATCACCTTACAGTAATAAGTCAACGTTACGTCCTAATAATCTGAATGTAAATTTACGATTAAAAGACAGCAAGGCATTGTGTCGTATGAGTAAATTGACATGGTGTCACTTGCTTGCCTCACACACAGCAAAAGCACATAACAATACTATGTGATGACATAGTGCCCAATATACAATACGTTATTATTATAATGACTGTGAGTTAAGTACTGATTTAAATGTTCTTTTCTCAGAAACAAAATAAACAAAAGCAACCAAGAGAACACAAATAATTACCAAATGGAATAGCAAATGTAGACCTTGGTAGAATAAACTGAAAGAACGTACACCAAGTCAGCCGTAAATCAGAAACTAAGGTACTAAACAAACAGCAATGTACTAAGTACTTACTATGACCGCTTTGTACTACAGAACATCAACTTAATCATTGTTACGATCTTGTTTTCCTCCATGCATTGTATTCAACAGCAAACCTAAGCGTGAACTATAGCTGATAAATGTACAGAGGTATTTGCTTTATTCTCCGTCATCGTTAACTGTGGCTGATTAGCGTATGTACTTTAATTACAGGGAGTCTAACGACGAAACCAAAACGGAATTGCTCTATGCAAGCAATTAGCGTAATATCAAAAAGGACCTTACTGGTTAAGAACCAGACTATTCCTGATCACATTCCCAAAACATCTTTATTATTTATGACGTTGGTTGAAGGAAATTTGGTACTGTATGAAAATTCAACAGATTTTTGTGGAAATGTTATTTGTCATGCATCGAAAAACGTTTATGTGTATTCAACTACACATCAATGTCTTAAGATTCTATTACCAAACTAGATGATTGCAAATAGTTAACAACTATAGTTAATGTCTTCTGAAGCAAATTGGTGATAAAATACATGTTTTATAAGTACACAATTCTCACTTCATCAAATAGTTCGGTAAAATGTAAATCAAAAATAACAAAAATGAAATATTGTTTCAGCATATCTCATTGGTATATAATTAAAGTATTAATATAATAATCATATCGAGTCTTTATCTGTCTGACGTGGAAGAGCAGTATCAATTAAACCAACAAAATGTACCGTCTCATGGTCCTAAATATATTGTTACATCAAGCTGTCGAGACAAATATAAGTGGGATTATCAACTCAATAGTCCATATCTGTAGAGCAATTCTGATTCATATTTTGGAGGAGCTAGCTTCACAAGCCAACACTTTTGTGACAAGCAAAGGAAATCTTGCAGTATATGGAATATGATATGAAGGGACAATATCACGACAAACTGTCTAAACCAATCAAATGGTCGCTAGTATTTTGAGCAACAGAGCAAATACTGGCTTCCTACGGTAAACGTGTCTAGATATGATTATCACAACCAAGGATTGGTTTTACATCGAATGTCGATTGGCATAAAAAGACAATATTGTGATAAGATATTCCAGTATATATATATATTAATTAAATGACGTCCGAGAGGCTGGATAAATGATTGATAACAAATATCAAGACGAATATACAAACGATACACGTTTCGTACATAAGTTAACAGCTTAAGTAAAGCGGTCTCATGGTCCTGGAATCAAAGCCTTCACAGCAATACTCCTGAAACCGGAAGACGCGTTTTCGCAATTTTCAAATGTCGAGAGCTCAAGTTTCCTCAGTTTGTCACATGAAACGATTGAAATGACAATATAGCAATGTTTTACCAATAGTAATTAGCCTTAATTTGCCGTGATGGAGAGTAAATGTTTTACTACAGATTGACGAATACGCACAAAGCCTATTGAGAGTGTATATTTGGTTATAATATAGAGAAATGTCAGGTCTATTTCACTTTGTTCTGAGACTGTGTTTAAGTACACAATAACAACACAAGCTTCATTTCTCAGAATGAATAAACGCAATATCGTATATACAAGCATTAAATGCCAACATTGAAAAAAATACAAACATTATGCAAAATCTTTACGATGAAATATGTCAACAGTGAAATGGTTTGTGACACATTATCATATTGACATTACGTCATTTCACTTTGTAAAATGTTCGTGAATATTAGGCCAAAACAAATCCGCTTTCTCTACCTACCATTGATTTAAGTGTCGATCCTGGTTTTAGTGTCCATCCTTGTATTTTAGCACTAAATTTTAAATAATCAATTTAGAATCTGAGACACTTTAACCTTATGACCGTTGTAAAATTGTTTTGGCAAAAAACAAGTTTTACATACCTACATACATGTACCCTGATTTACAACAATTAGCTGTCTTGTTTGGCCATGCCAAGCGCATAGATTTGGTCGATATAACACTGTATCAATAATGAGTATCCGGACAAACGAGGATTAGCTCTACTTACTTAACCCATTGTCGCCTAATGTCAAATTTGAACCTAAGCAAATCAAGTCCAGTTTAAATATGTAGGGATGAATAAGTTAATATCCGAAACAAACTAGTTCAACAAGTCTTCCATGTATAACTAGTTGAATTCCATGCAAGTGTGCATGTATTTCCTTTCATAAAATCATCGCATATACAGTTTTATAATATCATGCATTATATATAAATACATTGTATATACAGATGACCTTGTTTCGAATGAGGTAATAAATAAATATAGCATGATAAAGAGATGATATACGATATACATAACACTGGGTCAATGACTAGAGAGTACATACGATATACATAACACTGGGCCAATGACTAGAGAGTACATACGATATACATAACACTGGGCCAATGACTAGAGAGTACATGCGATATACATAACACTTGACTAATGACTGGAGAGTATCACAATCAACATACAGCTGCTATGGTCATTGGCGTTGGCCAGCAACTCGTGTGACAGAATGAAATGAGACAGACTTAAACGTAGGTCCATTGAAAGCATATGATCAAATCGTATAATGATAAACGATTCCAAAGTTAAGAGTACTATTTTAACCGTTGATGGGTTTGTGGTATTTATTTGAAGGTGGACCTTTTAATCCAAGAACGGATATTTAGTATTCAGATTGTATTATTATTAAAACAGATACGTCATTCAAACTAATATCATTTTGTATATTTGGACAAATGAAATTGTTCTTTCCTATTAGAAACACTCGGAAACCCTTCACGTAACAACTACTACATGTTTTAAGGCTCAAGAGAAAACATGTTTTGAAATGTGATTCAAATTGCATTTCAGAAATGTGCTTTTTTATCACATTTGCGACATCCAAATTAATCTCGAGTTTCTGGTAAACTACATATGATACGAATATTTGTTATATCACATCGCATTAACATTGTAACAAGCATTTTAAAGCAATATTAACATAACACAGCAACATCAAATAGGATGATGTACACTGTCTGGGCAGGATCAAACTGAACACATTCTTGCATATCCATATATAATGTAACATAATACATCTCGATTAAACAAAACAGCCATACTTGTTTGTCCATGACATATTCTAAAATAAGCAATTCAAAATAATCCATCCGTCAACGTGATGGCCTGATGCAGCAAACATAATCACTTCTGTGTTAAGGTCATCACAACACGTTAAATTTCAAAGCGACATTACCAATAGTGTATATGTGACAGGTTTAAGTTACGTGTATTGATGCAATTAGCACTAGCGTTATATAGTTTTAGACACTGATAAAATCGACATTTTTGTACCGTGAACACTTTTGAACACATTAGATAACCAAGATGCTATATTTTTGTTGTTGATAAACAGATGTTTTGAAATTGTTCAAGAAAATATGAGGTGGACGAACACATTGAATGTCAATGCACACATACATAATGATCACATAACCAATCGCAACAAACAAACACAACACAGCATCGCGTGGAACGTTTGTCAGGCTCCATTAGCCCGTGCCAATAACTGGCTGGTTCAAAATGGCATACAAAATGTGACGTCATGAGGCCACGCCTACTTCAGCCTCGATGTGGACTTTACAGTGTCTCAAACGTGAACATATCTACAAAGCATTTCCTATCAACAAGAGCATCCGCCTCCTTCCTGTTCCGCCGAGTCTAGTGCCTCGACTTTAGGTCTGAGTTCGATATCTGAAACAGCTGTTAAGGCAAACAAGATACAAGAATACAAGAAACTTTATTTAACGTCGCATACAGGTAAACAATGAACATTATCTCTTGAGAGCTATTATTACGACAACACTGAAAGTGGAATATACAATACCATTAAAACCTGTCGGAGAGTTTTCATTACTTAATAACAGCATGTGCATTCCAATGAAATCATACAACGAAACAAAATCAAAATCAATTTCTCCATTTTAACTTATAGAATGAAAACATGTTGTTATTGTTGTGAAGAAAAGGTTCAAAATTAAATCCAAATCTCCTGAACATAACGTGGAGTAAAACATGACAAAGATTTCCAGCAGATTGAAATTCTAATTATACACCAGAACTGACCCCTCTCGAATTCTCTTTATTTTATGTGACAATATTGAAATGAGATACGTTTCTATAACAGTGTCGAGGGACAATTTATTGTAATTTAACAACCAGCCAGACGTTACTATCAATAAAGCACGTACATGTAACAAGCGTTCAATGCAGCAATATGAATTTAATGTAGGACTTTCTTTAAAGGTATAACATATTTATCTTTTCTACGCATTCTCATTGGTATATTGCTGTGTTTTTCAATTGCTGGAAATTCTGCTTATCGATCCATACTTTTAGAAAAAGCAGCATCATCCAGAAAACTGCATCGAATTTTTTACAGGTCAGAAGTTGGTCATGCTTATAAAAAACTCAAGCAAACAAAAAGTACAAATTCAAAATACACGACACAAATTGGATGTTTACTTAAGTCCCAATACTTGCTTTATGTTCGGAGGATGTGGTCCTTCACGAAGGATATTCAGGTGAAGCTTCTGGCTTTATAAGCTGCAACTCGGAGACAGATCTGGTAGTTAACGACAACTTGACATATTCTGTAAATGGTTGACTTACCTTAAACGCGGACTTTCCTTGTATCGCAACGTTAAGAAACATAATCGAATCTTTGGCACCAATCATAAATTATGGATGGTATCTGGCACTTACCTTATTAAATAACATTCTTTACACATCAGAAGTAGTTTGTTTCACCAATGATATCATTTTATTTAATATCTATTAGCTCTTACTGTAGAGATACAGACAGTTTACAGGTCATGTAAAACAATGCTCCCGTATCTCATACTGACAATACAAGGTGCTGTATAAAACAATACTCCCGTACCTCATACTGACAATACAAGGTGTTGTATAAAACAATGCTCCCGTATCTCATACTGACAATACAAGGTGCTGTATCCAACAATACTCCCGTATCTCATACTGACAATACGAGGTGCTGTATAAAACAATACTCCCGTATCTCATACTGACAATACAAGGTGCTGTATCACCATTTTGGCTTGAAATCTTGTTGTTATTCACTGATCAAATCGATGAATTGAAACAAGAACTATTTCTGAATATTTCAGCACTATTAAGTGAATATTTCAGCACTATTTAGTGAATATTTCAGAACTATTTAGGCTATGATAACGTGATACCACTCTTCCGTCTTCGACATCATTTTGTCCGCCTTTTTTGCCCGGTGCAAGTTAGCCGGAAGCAAAATTGATATTTATAGGGATAAAATGATGAGCAATGTTTTGCAGAAAATACATAACGCATATAATAACAACTGTAGGTATGTAATTGAATATCACACATTCGCCCTTATATCGCGTCATTACATTCGTCAGGACAAAGCGTGTTTCCTGCGACGTCAAATTGAAAACATGTGATACTGATTATAAAACACCAAAAGGACGATTCTTCCCATTAATTAACACATCGTTCTTTCTGGCACAAATCTTTAGTTGACGGAATTGATTAACTATACAATCAAAATGTACGTACAAATGTTCTTCTTATAACGACACCGGTTACACTTTCGTTGATTTTTTTCATATTTGATCTTCAGAACGGCATCCGAATTCCATTGATCGATTTTCCAATGAACAAGACTTCTTTGTGAAACAAATGTTTCCCGGCATATGTCAGCAATCCATGCCGATTTATTCATCTCACAAAAACTTCTGTCCACAATACCACAGAATGTTAAATAACAGAGCAAGCAAAAGTAAATAGAATAGGTAGGAAATCCATATGATCACCTCCTTATACATACATCATGAAAATGCCACAAAAAAGCTGAACTGACCAAAACGATCTCTGAAAATGATAAAAGAAAATATCTGGACAACTTGGCAACCCGAGCAAACTTTTGTCGTCGTTTGCTTGTACACAGCCAAAACGGAGAAGTACGAGTTAACCATTTTCACTCTGTCGACATCACACAATCAGCCCTAAGGCTTGTATATATTTGTGAAGTTTCCAACAAAAATTACAACGTCAATTAAAACAACACCATCATAGCACCTTTTATTTCCATACTTGTGATATATCCCAATACTCCCATATCTCATACTGACAATACAATGTGCTGTATAAAACAATACTCCCGTATCTCATCCCGACAATACAAGGTGCTGTATAAAACAATACTGCCGTATCTCATACTACAATACAAGGTGCTGTATAAAAGGATACTCCCGTATCTCATACTGACAATACAAGGTGCTGTATAAAACGATACTCCCGTATCTCATACTGACAAAACAAGGTGCTGTATAAAACAATACTTCCGTATCTCATACTACAATACAAGGTGCTGTATAAAACAATACTCCCGTATCTCTTACTGACAATACAAGGTGCTGCATAAAACAATACTCCCGTATCTCATACTGACAATACAATGTGCTGTATAAAACAATACTCACGTATCTCATACTGACAATACAAGGTGCTGTATAAAACAATACTCCCGCATCTCATACTGACAATACAAGGTACTGAATAAAACAATACTTCCGTATCTCATAGTGACAATACAATGTGCTGTATAAAACAATACTCCCGTATCTCATACTCCAATACAAGGTGCTGTATAAAACAATACTCCCGTATCTCATACTACAATACAAGGTGCTGTATAAAACGATACTCTCGTATCTCATACTGAAAATACAAGGTGCTGTATAAAACAATACTCCCGTATCTCATACTACAATACAAGGTGCTGTATAAAACAATACTCCCGTATCTCATACTGACAATACAAGGTACTGAATAAAACAATACTTCCGTATCTCATAGTGACAATACAATGTGCTGTATCTCACAGTGACAATACAAGGTGCTGCATCTCATAGTGACAATACAAGGTGCTGTATCTCATACTGACATCACAAAGTGCTGTATCTCATACTGACAATACAAGGTGGTATATCACCATTTTGGCTGGAGCTCATTTGTTGTTATTCACTGATCAAATCGATGAATTGAAACACGAACTATTTCTGATTATTTCAACACTATTTAGTTAATATTCCAGCACTATTTAGTGAATATTTCAGAACTATTTAGGCTATGATAACGTGATACCACTCTTCCGTCTTCGACATCATTTTGTCCGCCTTTTTTGCCCGGTGCAAGTTAGCCGGAAGCAAAATTGATATTCATAGGGATAAAATGATGAGCAATGTTTTGCAGAAAATACATAACCCATATAATAACAACTGTAGGTATGTAATTGAATATCACACATTTGCCCTTATATCGCGTCATTACATTCGTCAGGACAAAGCGTGTTTCCTGCGACGTCAAATTGAAAACATGTGATACTGATTATAAAACACCAAAAGGACGATTCTTCCCATTAACACATCGTTCCTTTTGGCACAGATCTTCAGTTGACGGAATTGATTAACGATACAATCAAAATGTACGTACAAATGTTCTTCTTATAACGACACCGGTTACACTTTCGTTGATTTTTTTCATATTCGACCTTCAGAACGGCATCCGAATTCCATTGATCGATTTTCCAATGAACAAGACTTCTTTGTGAAACAAATGTTTCCCGGCATATGTCAGCAATCCATGCCGATTTATTCATCTCACAAAAACTTCTGTCCACAATACCACAGAATGTTAAATAACAGAGCAAGCAAAAGTAAATAGAATAGGTAGGAAATCCTTATGATCACCTCCTTATACATACATCATGAAAATGACACAAAAGCCTGAACTAACCACAACAATCTCTGAAAATGATAAAAGAAAATATCTGGACAACTTGGCAACCCGAGCAAACTTTTGTCGTCGTTTGCTTGTACACAGCCAAAACGGAGAAGTACGAGTTAACCATTTTCACTCTGTCGTCAATCAGCCCTAAGGCTTGTATATATTTGTAAAGTTTCCAACAAAAGTTACAACGCCAATTAAAACAGCACCATCATAGCTCCTTTTATTTCCATACTTGTGATATATCCCAATCCAAAAAGTCACAAGTCCACATAGAACTTCAGCAAGCTTCCTGAAACAACCAGACATCCAACAACTTCAATTAAATAGGTAACGTGGAAAACACGCAACATCTTAGCCAAATGCCACGTGGATGCATTCGACAATGCATACTTGTTTCCAACAGAAGACGAGTCAAACAGCAGGAAAGAAAAGATATCAAATCCAAGTGTTGTGATGTGGGCAGCAGATCGTCTTGCACTTCCTCAGAGTCCCCTTAGCAGTAGACGAGGTCCTATTCCGCAGTGTTAGGCACATCAATTGCCTCTTGTGATAACTTGCAAAGTGACAAATCTATATTTTCTCTCAAAGTTGCGAATCATCCCAACTCAATCAGCTTGACAATAGATTATGAACTTGTTGCAAGGAAACATAAGCCACAAGTTCCTTTAATAGAGGTTGTTGGATATTTGAACATACTTCATTCCAGTGGCCTTCTTTCAGTAATTTCCTCTATGCATAGCTTTACGTTTCTGCAATCTTGAATGAAGTTTAAAGTTCCTTTGTTAATCCATCTGCTAGTCAAACACCATTGTCTCTATATCTTTTTCAGAAATTGTTTGAAGGTTTTGAACGTTTTTGAAAGGTCCAATGTCACGACCTTAGGACCCTGTGATTCTCAGAAGTAA